AATATATTTACTCTAAAAATAAATCTTCTATGACTCCACCATACTCCAAGCAAAATTCCTTTCTAAGAAAAGATGTTTGTTGTGAAGTCTACAGTGAGATGCAATGGTTGACACAACAAAACCTTAGCTGTTCCACCGGCGCAGGAAGGTATTGAATGAGATCATCATTAGCACAGATCAATTCACTTTAACAGAGTTCCAACTCTAAATGAAGATTAAACAGAAATGAAATTCCTGAGAGGGAGGAATAAAATGCAGAAGAAGGGAGAAATCAAACTCTTACACGAAGGCAAGCAACAATTCTACTTGGACCAAAATCCTTGGGCTTCGGTTCTACAGAATAAATACTCTTCTCAATGGAGAAACACTAACGAAGAAATAGTAACCCCAAAAGGATTATAAGAAGAATCCAAGAAAAGTGCATTATCTTTCAGCATAAGATGACAAAATAATTTCTACAAAATTTCTGACCACAAATTTCACAGACAGGAATTAAAAAAGATTTAAAAAAAAAAAAAAAAAAAAAAAAAAGAGAGACAACAGCAAAAAAAAAAAAAAAAAAAAAAAAAAAAAAAAAGGTTACACAGTCAGACACAGCCAGACACAGCCTGGAATTTCCTACACGTTGAGAGCACATTACATGAAACAAAATACAGTAAGGACTGATGATCCTGATAGGGCAGAGATTTCATAAGGAAAAAATTGCCAATATAAAAATATTTCATACAGCATTATTGTAAAAGTACTACTTTTATGAGCATCTGTTTTTATTGCAGAATGACTGGTATGTTTTACGACAAGACTATGTGAATATAACTTAGGGAAACCACTCGAGGCAAATGTGAACATACTGGTCTATAAAGGATAATGTGGGTAATTCAATACCTATGTCCTACATGCAAAGTTTGCATGCGTAGGTTCAACGTGAATAATTGTCCGTCTTTCCTGTTTTAACTGTTGTGCCTCGGTGCCTCGGTGCTGTGTGCAATTCACGGTTTTCCATGAGTCATTCCAGCAGTGACGATACTCCATATAAAACACACATGTGCCACTATAAAAGCCTACTAAACTCTTTGTGATTGCTCAACGTACCACAGAGTCTAATAATTTATCCGAGTAGAAAGCAGAATCACCTCCATTCTTTCCTCAAAGCCAAGAATGCAATGGATAGTCATTCCTCCTGAAGTAAAAGCTTAGGTGGAAACGGAGGAAAAACAGAGCTGAAATCCAGATGACAATTATGTGCAACCTATATAACTGGAATGAAGCAAGAAAAACATGTTTTCCACCTTAGCGTGCGACTGTTTGGGGTGTATGTGTATATGGGAATAGCTCCTTAAAAGTAATTTTTTAAAAAAGAGGAAAAAAAAAAGAAGTGAAACTACAAACAAATGTAGAAGAAAAATCATTGCCTCAGCCTAGAGAAAAAAGAAACGATGACATGACCGCCACGTGCAAGAAGATCAGAAATTGAGCCTGCATTTCAAAAAGACACATTAAAAACTTAAAAGAATGTGAAATCACATCCAGTGCAGATGATACCTACTTTCTGCCACGGTTCTCTCTTACACTTGGCACACCTAGCAAAGACAGTTTTTCATGCCAATGAAAGTAATCTTAAAACAAATTTATTAGAAGTAGTAATTTCTCCTTTTTTTTTTCTTTCACCAGAACTTTGAAATTCTAAGAGCCATGATCTAATCTGCATTTCTGTAAAAATTCCATTTCTGCATCCGTTTAGAGAATACATACACACAAGCTTTAATATATAGAATATATATGCATATTCTACATACTCATTATATATACATATTTTATGTACAGCACAAGTAACTATATACTAGACATAGTATGTGGACATATATAGTATATACACACACTATTATTACATTATACAATACACTATATATATATACACAGACACAAATAATATGGATCTCATAATGTACACCATATATGCATTGTGTATACTCACATTTTATATATCTCGCATTGTACATATTTTCTCTGCCCAAATAGCAATAGGCCTATTTGTGCTTTAAATTTCGCTGTTCTGGAGGAAGAAGAAGATCAATGTCTTGCAATAAAACTTCTGTCTTAGAAGAACAAGTGCGGGTATTCTACAAACCACTGAGTTACAAGCGTAAGGGAAGAAGAACGTGGGTAATTTTCCTTTTTATACGGAAAACTGGATTTAAATACAATGGGGAGAAATCACAGCTAAGTTTTCTTCTACTGCAGTATCTAAAATTTTGAATCAAGAGTGTTTCAGTAAACCTAAGGTTACTAAATCTAATATACTGTGCATAGAGGACACGTTCTGTCCTTGCTCATTTGCTTGATCTTCTGTTACTGTCCAAGCAAACATGAAGAATGAGTCAATAAGAGGAAAATGAGTAATTAGTTGTAACGCTATATGGAATGCTAGATTAATTCACATTTCTGGCTTCCAAAAACACTGACTCATTGCCTTAGAAGCATTATAAATTACAGTGTTTTAGAGCACTGGCAAAGTAGCAGAAAGTCTTGTTATGGTACATAACTCAGAAAATGAATCAAGCTATTTAGCTCATCCACCCCGTCCCACTGGAGTGACATCATCCAAGCAGTAGTCCAAAAGTGGTTTTCCTTTCTAAAATGGCATTACATATGAATGGGGGTTTATTGTAGCAGAAGAGACACCACAAAGACTCAGGCTCAAATGAAAATAAAAAGGACAATCTTACACATGGATACAATTTGTTTAACTTAACTGAGAATCCTCCAGCCATTCAATTTTCAAAATTGCTCTTTCATAGCAAAAGTTTTATCTCAGGTTAGCTACAGACAGACCCAAGTTTGCTTTCAGAGACTTCAAGTCCTGTACACCAACAAAAAAATAGAATATGTTGACATTTTAGTATGTTCAATCATTTAATCTAATGTATTTTAGAGAAAAATTATGACAACGGGAAGGGATTTCAAATCAGATTCTGTAAAATTAGAAATATCACCTATTGCATTCACAAGGGGTCATTAAAAGATGATATCAAAGATCATTACACGGTTGCTCTTGATACTAGCATGCATCTTCTCCCCTTCTGAGGGGAATTAGAGAGTCACATTTTTTGCAGTACAGAGACCACACAGCAAACGGGGAACTGTGACTCCTAAAACTGCCTTTTGAGATAGGGGGGTTCAGGTTTGCCGTAGCGCTGCATCTGTAAATGGATGGATGTGCGCGCGTGTGTATGCACACACGCAGACACGCACTCACCCGTATGCCTACTCCGAAAGGCCTGAGACAACAAATGCCACGTCTCAGCTGCATTGCAGAGCTGCAAACTACTAAGATGAAGAAAATGATCCAATCTGATTCTTATCTCTGTGTAAGGAAAGCATCCAGAATAAGGCAATTACAACAGAACGGGGAAAGATTGTTTACATTCAGTGAACAGGCACTATCACTGTATTATGAAAAATAAACAGAAGGAAGCAAGGACGTAAAAATATAAATGCATTAAAGATGATGAGGGAATACCACGTTTTCAAAAAAAAAAAAAAAGAGAAAATGGTATAAGATAAGGGCTGCATCAGTAAAAACACAGAATGTTAAGCTTCGTATTCCTACAGAACCAAGGATGGGAAAGCAGACAGACATTAAGGACATTTAAAAAATTTTGTGCTAGATGCCTACTCTATTTCAACATAAAATCCAAGGCAAAGACAACGGAAGTTTTAGAATTCCTGTAAGCAGAAAAGGCATTTTGAGTAAGCAAATAATTCACAGACTTATCATAAGGACTTATTTTATATATTACATGTAAAACACGTCCTGTGTTATCCATAGCAGGTCAAAGTACAGAGTTCTACACGTATATATAAAATCTGTTCCTACTTGGACTCACTACTGCAAGCTGTATTTTAGAGCCAATCCGGTCTACCAGTACTTCTATAACTTATGCATGAACACGTATTTGGCAAATGAAATCTGTTTCAACTTGGCCTTATTTCAGCTAAATTAGGTTTGATCTGTAACCCCGTAATATAAGATAGGTGGAATTAAAGAAACAGAGGTACACAGTCAACCGGGTCACACAAATAAATGGTCTACGGTCTGGTGGTTGGAGCAAAAGAGAGTAAAAGGAGTTGTAGGGATGAACGCTGCTCAAGCTTAGTAAGCTTTCCGTTGCTTGATTTTGCACGAAAGCAGCACTCAAACTTGTATCACAATCCTGCAATCGTATTTGTTTATGAGATAAAGCAAGATTTTACCTAATGATTTAATTGCCAAATTATTTGTCCAATTTACTACAACTAACTCCCTCTTTTACAACACCCCATACAATTATTAAAACTCAATGCAAACAAATGTTTAAATTAGAAGAACTACTCAGTTGTAGAGGCTTCAAAGTCATAATATTTTATAAAGTTCACTATGTTTGTATTCATCTCATAAAAATTGCCAGATTCTTTTGTAAAAGCCACATCTCCTGGATAAAAAGGGACCATCTGATAATGAATTTATGCTGAAGATTTTGACGTAGATGATACAGATGACATGATTAGCCTACCATGAATTATTAAATAAATGTAACAAGTGAAAGCTAATTCTAGAAATATTACCTTTTTTATGACATTTTCTTTGAAATTCATACTGCAGCCTCAAAACCCCAGTGGAATTCAGGTAACAAAAAGCCAAATTCACAAGTTGCCGTTTACTATATGCAACATTGTCTTCCAGATAAAGAAACTTTGCTTTCAGTACCTTAGGATCACACATTAAATTTCTTAAAAGCAGTAAATTTTATCTAGAACATATAATACAGCTTATACAGTATTTCCTGCATATTATGCACTTGAAAAGCCACACAGAGCCTAGTTTGACGTAACCAGCCAGTCTTGTTCAGAGTTGAAGGTGACTAAAATTATTTTCACAATATAAACCAAGAATTTAGTATTTTTATAAAAGCCACGTTTAAAGGTTTCACTTGGACAGGGTGGAGCCAAAGAACCTCTGTTTAAGAATTTGGCATATCAGCCTTACTGAGCGCAATAGCCAACTCAAGGTCTTCTTGTTCTTGTCTCCGCAATCGAGCTAGTCTTTCTTGCTCTGCTTTTTCGCTCTCACGCTTTGCCCATGCCAGCTGCTGTTCTTCATTTCCAAACTAAAAAATGAAAATGGAAAAGGAATTAATACATTTACCAAAAACCCAGAAGAAATTATGTGAAAAATACAATGAATCAGCCTCGTTAAATATATGAATCAAGTATACCAAGCTGTCTTAGGGTAGTTCTTCTGGATTAAGATAAAAATTCACTCACTGATTTCCTCACTTCATCCTTTAATTTATTTCCTTAATTTCTTCCTCCTCCCACCAGGAAACTAACCCATCTGGGCTGCACGTCCCTGCATCCATGGCTCAGTTTTGTATGAAAATAGCCAGAGGACTGGAGCCAAACAAAAACTCCACAAATACAAAAAAAGCAAGTTAGTGGTTTGGGAGCATAGCAACCTACATCCATTTTTAAGAATAGTAAATAGCTGGTAAAAACCAAGAGTTATTTACTCTTGTGCAACTCCATCGCAGAGAGTTTTCTTGTAGTATTCCTTGCTAAGGGTGAGGGGTTTTAATAATGACTCCGGAGAATGCTGATTTGTGGGAAGTTTCGTCACCAAATCAAAAGTTCCAAAAAGCGCTTCTGTTACTGTTCACAAAAATATATGCAGAGTTTTTCCAGTAAGAAATAATGTAAGAGAATCCAATTTACTTCAGCAGAAAATACTACGGAAATATAACGCATTAGGACATTCAGCTTCTAAAGCCTGTTTGAGCTTCCCGAAACACATTTAAGTACACTGCAGCAAAACTGTTCCAAAATTATATTCCAGTATTTACCACTGAAGTATGCAAGAGTCTGCTTGTTTGAACTTTTTGCACAAAATGTTAAAATATTTTATTGAAATCATAACAATTTAAAGCTAAAATATAATCTGTTACTGTTTAATTTTAGCGTTTGCTGAAGAGGATGATGTTAACAGAAGCGTTTGCACAGCTGCATGCAAAAGTTCACATTATAGCCCACTTCTAAAATTTGCTTTGTACTCTCTTTTTTTGAATGTTCAGGAAAACATATTATTTGTGTTTTTCTGGGGAAGAGAAAACTACATGGAATTTATAGTTTCAATTTCAGCCGAACATACACTGTGGTCCACAACAGAGTAACTCTGAACTCAGCAAAATGTGCCACCGTACTAGCTGCTACGGCTACACCTTCCCAGACAAGCTTGAAATACTGAACTGAGTATTAAATGCGACTTTATGTGCCAGACCTAGGCCTGGCTGCCCCCACCTTGCCTTTGCCACTCTGCATTGTATCTAGAATTCATACTTTTTACATAAACACATCTATTTGAATTTCTTTCAACCCAATTCTCATTTACTCATAATTTAGTTCAATTATGCTTTATCTATGTGCTTCTGAATGCTCACAATTCCTCATTTTATTTCTCTCAATATGATTTTTCATCTCAATATGATTTGATATAATCAATCATCTCAAAATGATTTGATATTAAAAAAAAAGGTATTTTAAAATTAGTTTTCTTTAAACAATACCTCTGCTTTCATTGCTATCAAAATTTAGATGAGGACCTTTGTATTCAATGTTACTGAAATACAATAAAAGTGCCACAAATTTCATGATATTTTAGTTTTAAAATGAAGACAATCTATTATTATTACTTGTTTAAATAATGTCAGCTGACAGGCAAGATTTAAAAGCTCACTAAGATTTTAAATAGATGATTTTTTTCAAGATACAGTAAAGACGGACTCAGATGGAAGTAGCACTTCTCCACTTATTCCAAGAATTCAAAAGATCACATAGCTGGGATGCAGAATAACAGTTACTATTTTCAGTAATACAATAAGCTTTGGTCAAACCCTCTGGGGTGTCTTTTTTTTTTTTTTATTGTTGAGAAAACATTTTTTCTTATACGGTTTACATCTTAGGATAAGTCTTCCAAAGCTTATCAGAGTCCCAATCATGACTTGTTTATGGTACACAAGATAGATTTCTGCAGTTAAAAGTGCTGAGTTTAAAAAAAAAAAAAAAAGAAAAAGAAAAATAGGCAAGTGATTCATTGGAAACAAATCAGGATGTGCCTTACTACAAATGGTTAGCATACAGTAAAATTTTCAGGAGCACAACTCTGAGCATTAGATAGGGAAGTACACAACAGTTCATTAATGCCACTGATTCTTGCACAGATTGCCTATAAAAAGGTAATGTAACGGAATTACAACTCATTTAATACAATAACAATTTTTTTGGCATATGTCCAGGTTCAAGAAGTCTATAAATACGTATCACATATCCGTCATTTCATTTTCTTTTTCTTTTTCAGAAGTATAGTTAGACCCAAGGCATAAATGAGGAAAACAGCAGAGTGCAGTGAAACGAATCACATACACAAAAAGCTACACTGACTTGTGTTTACTAAATTACCAGCTTATATTAAGAGAAAAACTTTAGTTCTAAGTGCTCTGTTTCTTGGAAATTTAAACACTTTCTGTTGGCGGAAAGCTTGCTTTTCTTGTTGTTCCGTAAACTGAAGCTGGAACCTAGAAATACCTGAAACATGAGCTACCAAAAGACTTTGTTTTCTTCCAAAGAGTCGTATTTAATGCCAACGGAAAAGTTAAGAATGCAATGAGAACATACATAAACTCTGTGCGCATGAATTTGCCAGTGTCTCAAAAAAAAAGGACAAAAAAGACATATTTTCTAGAGCACTACTAAAATCTAGTGAAGGTCCTCATGTTACTTCTTTGCAATGGTAAATAATTCCAATAAAAAATCAGGTTATTCCGTTATTCAAACCTATGATTCTGTTCTCAGATTCCATAGACTCAAACTGTGTGTGAAAAAAACCTTCTGTAAGTAAAATTGCTTTTAATTTCCATTATGAACAAAGTTTCCCATACATTAGGCAAAGACAAGCACAATATTCTTGCTGATTATAAGGTAACTAGCACACTTAAGACTTCATAATTCATGATCAGGAATTATCAAGTGTAGCAACATAATGGTGTTACAGGCAAGCAAAAAAACCCCAAACCAACAAACTGAAAAGAGCAGGTATCAAGTCTCTCTCTTTTCAGTCAAATTCAGTTAACACTTTTTTTTTCCTTACAGAAGTACAAAGCAATTCACAAAACCAATTAAAAAATTAATTTCATTGGATGAAGCGCCACTTAACAGTAATTACAAGTGGCTACTGCTCAAGATCTCATTTTTCCTACTATTTCCTTATCTTAAAGTTAATCTCATCTCCTAAAAACCTGATGGCACAGCAAATTTAACACTAGAGCACCCACTGGGAAGGGGGTCAGAGATTTTGGTTAATCATTTGATACAATCACTCAGTGTAAGCCACGCTTTTAACTTAAGAAATGGGGTCTGTAAGAAAGACGACAATAGCTGGGTAACAGTCATTCCATTCCGTTATTTGTCTTTCATTCAAGGAAGAAATTAAATGTTGTTCAAGAAATTTCAGATAAGCAAGTTTTGCGTCTTATTTTTATTAAGAATGTCACCATTTTGTATACAATCACAGAATTTAACTGTGCAAATTCAACAGGCTAGTACTAACTGTGGTAAAGCATACATAGTATCTTGAACTTTGACATCTTCAGTATCCTAGATAAATTAAAGCACTGAGGCCAGCTAAAAGTATGCACAGATGACCTCAACTAACAATATCAAATAGGAAAGTGATACACATTTACTATTAACTAATAACTAAAGGAAAAAAAAACATTAAAAATAAGCAACCTGAAAGCTTCAGCTTAAAGACCTCCACTTGTTGAACACTGAACTGTGTCCATCAGAGTTAAGTAATGGATCGAGTTGGCAATTTTACTGCATGGCAATGTGACAGAACAAAAACACATGAAAGGAGGAAGAAGCCTGAGGCTGCGGATGGAGCAGATTTCTTTCTACTCATGGAAGCACTAAGAACCACACTACTACTACATTTACAATGACTTCCAATTCAATGATGTACCTGCCAGCACTAAAAACAAAGCCAGGCTTTTAGAAACCCTGGTATTTTTTTAATGAATGGGTACTTGGCTTTGCTTTCAAACCTTCTGATGCTGTCTTTTGGAATGCAGTATGGACGTTTGTATATTGGTTCTACAAAACAACTTTGTTTTCTTTGTCTAACAAGGGTTTTTCTACAATATCAGTAATTGGAACAAAATTCAACAGCTGAATTCTCAATCTCTGTCTTGTATATGTATTTTTATGATCACATTCCATCGTATACAGCAAACATTGTGACAGGATTGTCAGAACTTTTTTCACAAGCAATTACAAATACTTTATGGAATCTTTCCCTTTAAGGATTTGCTTCTCAGGATATGGTGAAATTGCCATATAAATGTTTTCAACAATTGTTTGTGAATCTTTACATCATTGGCTCCAGAAAAATCAGTTTACAAAATAGCCTCCATGCAACAAAAACAATACACAGATTCTGCTACAAAGAATTTGTGAGTAAAGGCACACTGTACTAAAATAATTTAAATGCAAGTAAACCCTTTAAAATTTAGTATGAAACTTTTTATTGAAATAATGCCTTTTTATTACAGAAATATTAATACAAAAACAATGAGGACAGCATGAAGGTACTAAGAGACAGAAGCCAGTGAACAGTAGGTTTGCAGTTAAAACAAAAACCCAAAAGATTGCTGCAAGCAGAGCAGAAAGTGGTTTGCTCAGAGACAATGAACTTAACTTACAGAGCTGAAGTCTGCAAACCCCAAGGAAGAGTCTTTAGAAGTTTTACTTGAAGAGGAGGGAGCAAATGGATCTTTTCCACTAAATGGGTCCCCAAACCCCTTTTTACTTTGAAACGGGTCACTGCTGTCAGCCCCAAATGGCTGGAATGGATCATGGGGCTTGGGAAAATCTGAAGACCCAAGGTGGCTTACAGGAGTACTTTTACCTGGAAAGTTTAGGAAAAAAACAAAAACAACAAACAAACAAAAGGAGAAAAAGAGAAGTTACTTACCATGGACAATGCAAACCCTTTAAATAGGAAATTGTGCTGATACACTTTAGCATCATCCATTCTTCCTGAGGTGGTTTAAAATTTAACCAAATACAATGGTACTCATTGCTCAATGCAAATCATCTCAGTTGTTTTATGTAAATGGATTTATTATCTTACTTATACATACTGCAATATTAATACCATCAAGATTTTAAATGATAAAACTCAATATAAAGACATTTGGCCAGAAGAATTTGACAAGTATGACTTTAGTTCGTTTTCCAGGATTAGACATATTTCAAGTTTAAGTTTGGGATTACATAAAAGACAAAATATTTACATATATATTTCTATATATCACTAAAAATAAATAATTAACCATGTTAAATAGAATTAAATAGTAACTTATCTGTGATTTTACAGAATGAATGCATTCTGGTTTTTTTTCCTGGAACTGGTTTATCCTTCTACCACCACAGGTACAAGGGAAAAGAGACTGACTAAGGAATCACCTTGTTCTGCAGTGATTGCTGGGCAACCCACCTTTTGTAGGTGACTGCCTTTTCTTATATTCCACCCCAATAATAAATAAAATCACAGGAACTATTGAGTATGCTTGTAAATAATGGTTGTCTATTTTATCTGTTGCAATTAGAAGCTCAATGCTTATTTTTTAATTCCCCCCTGCAAAAAGTCCTATTTTGTTAGGTCAAATAACTAAACAGATAAATGTCATTTTTTAAAAAAAGAAACAAATATTTACAACCTCCTGCATAATAACTTGAATTACATCCATTATTGGCATTAATAAAGCCATTGTTTTTGAAATGTCCCATTCAACTGTAATTTAATAGGAATCTTACGATTTATTCACATCATTCACATTCACTAGAAAAGCACAGAGAAATGGAGTCAAACCCCCAAATTTCAGAGTATGTACTTGGCATGTCTAAGACACAGCCTGACAGCTTTTAGGAAGGTACTTTGGTAGTGAGTCATGAACTTCACCATATTTGCTCAAATCCGTGGAAATCCTCATTTGTCAAAAGAGAAATAAAGATCAGCAAACTTGTACTAAATAAATAACCTATCCAGCATCCTGTCTTCACCTGCCACTGAATCACAGCTCAGCCATCTCCCCTGCGCTCAGCCTGCCAGATGTACAGCCCTGTGCCGTCAGGGGCTCCACACCATGCCGATGGCATCTCCTTAACGATTGTATGGGCTGCAGGGACCTACAGTCCTCAAACTCAGCCAGGCACAGATTTACAGGGGAGCTGAAGGAACCGGCAGACTCTTAGCTCAGTGTTAACACCATACTTGGGTCTCAGATGCAATGCAGTGACTGCTCGGAAGGCACTGTGCCTCAGGGAAAATGTGAAGCAATAAAGTCCACAGCTGAACAAGCAGACAGAAAGAGGCATAGAAAACAAGACACATGCAGCAGGAGATATAACTGGATTTGTTTAGTCTTAAAGTGTGTTCAAGGGGAACCTGATCGTAGTCCTGTAGGCAAGCCTTCCATCACGAAAAAGGCTAATGGATTTAGATTTTAGTGAGAGAGATTTACATTAGACAATCTGTAAAATTTTTAAAACTTAAGGATACCCAAGACTGCCTAGGGAACTTGCTGCATTCCATCATCATGTGTGTGAGGTGTGAGAAAGGGTTTCTAGAAATCACACTGGTTTACCTGCCTTGAAGCTGGAGGACAAACGAGATCTCAAAGTTCACTCCAGTACTATTTTTCATGGTTTAGTACGTGCTCAATCCTGGTTAACAGATGTGGTGAGGACATACGGATCCCCATGCTATCATCAACCACATGTGAGACTTCTAAAGACAGGCAGATCAGACTAGTGATTTGTCCTTCATGGAAGGAAGTAACAAAATACACAGGACATACCAGCGGCATTTGCTCTCCCCACAAGCATGGACCCTCCTGCACCCCAGTTTCAAACTGCCTTTCCTATCAACAGAGGCCATGGTTTCTTCTCTGAAACGGACTGCTGCATTTATGCCCCGCTCATCGCCATGGCCTTTAGGAGATCCCACCTTCAGTCACAGCTACGCAGTGTTAGGGAACTATGTAAACCTGGTAAGAGATGAGCAACTCAGCATTTTGTATATAATTCTCCAGATAAAAGAGCAACTTATTTTAAATTAAATTATAAAGAGAATAAAGTATCTTCATTTCTAACTTAAGGTCAAGGCAAAACATAAGCCCTCTACATTTTATTACCTCCTTCCTCTATTGCCAGTTACTAGCAAGCAAATCCCCCCCGAGTATCCTTCACCCTATACTACCACAAACCAATTTTGATTGATAGAGGCAAAAATGATCCATTTTAAGCTGCCCTTTTCTTAGGTTAAACCTTCTGTTGCCGAAACCTCTTTGTGGAGTTGGTGACTGTTAGTACAAGCACAGGGTTTGCAACGTATTTGCTCAGCAAACCTGTTTTTTTTCTAGGTGGCCTGTTTAATTTTTGCACGAAGCCCCTAGTGGTTTCAGAACGTACACAAAGAGCATCAGGGTTTCTCATGCTTCATCTTCACAACAGATCACAAAGAATAACTTTGCTGTAGAGGAAATGCCACCGTGAATACTAGAGTTACCGCTAATAATATTGCAAATTTTTATTTTACTGAGTGCCATTTTCCTCAGATTTTTTTCAGTTAAAGAATAGAAGAGGGCTTTAATTTTGTTACTTTGAAGAAAAAGCAAAAGAGGGAAACCCTTACAAAATCAGGTTTATTTTTTGCAGAGCAATTTTAAGGGCAGAGCCAATCCTGGCACTCACAAGAGAGTCCTCAACGAGCCCTCTTTCCTACACTTTGTACATTGCTTATAGTTTGTTTTATCCTGCCACACTCAGCAAACATGGTTTTGAGGCCTGGCAGAAGTTTGTCTGGTTCAGTTAAATGTTGAAATTTACTCATTTGTTGGCCACCAATTAGTAATAACGCCACAGAATTATCTTTCTGACATCCTTGCTGGCTTACACCAAGTGTGAATCTCCCAGTGCAGCAAGTGCATATTGAAGTACAAGAAGGTTTTTGTATTCCTGTGTTTAGTATCTCAAGAACGTGGGTACAGTATTTCTATAAGGCAAAGCAAAAATACCCAAACCACACTGAAAAGTCACCAACTGAACTGAAGGACACTGGTAAAATTGTAATATTGCAAAATACACTCTTAGTAGTAACTGAGATTGCATTAAACTTATATTCACTGGGGATTAAAAAAATACTGCATTTTAACATGATACTGCTCATTGTTTTTGAGGTATGGCAGTACAAAAGTGCAAGCAAACAGTTGCAACCCTTACTTATTTGATTTTTCTGCTAATAGTTTCAGGGGAAAAAAGTTCAGAAAAAAGCAAAACAGGTCCTATTCTGAAACCACAGCAGTTTCAGCAGTTACCCAAGTGGTGCACCCAAACCACACCGAGGACTCACTTCAGCAAAAAGAGATGATGAACAAAATGGTTTACCACAGCAAATGCTGTTAACTTGTAGTGAACTCCACCCATACCAAGGGTTTATCTAATTTCATACCCCACAGCAAACTTCAGGGTTGAGATCTATAGTTCAAGGCAAATATAATCTCACTGGTAGGATCCACTTACAGAATTTGTCTTACTGAATTACAAGATATTGACAATGAAACAACGAAGTGGAACTTTTATAGTTTTCTCTATATTCTATGTTTCAACGAGTTCTAACTTTCTGCTTAGAAGAGTATCTTATGGAATTATGAGAAGCAACGTGTTTGCATGTGGATTATGCATGCTCACAGGCAAACAGGGCAGAGGTGAGATGACACAACTTTAAACTTTCACTAAACAAGTGCTCCTTTCCAGGAAACTTTCTAAGGTGAAAAATATGCTTTAACAATTCAGAACTGTGCTAGGTAGGATAGTGATAAGTAGTGATAGTGTAAGGCAAGCCCATACCTGCGATCATACTTGAACATATAATACCAGGGTTCCTACCTCTCACATCTTTTATATGCCAGAGGAAGTGTTACTCTAGAAAACCTCGGAGACTGTGCACCACGTAAGGTGCCTCCCAGTACATCCTTCTCTCGGCACTTTACCAAATTTATGTACCATTCCTAACTTACTCAGCATGTTTTTCACCACACTTAAATTATCCAGCTCTTCCACTGATGCAGAGTAAGACTTTCATAAACTGTGAACTTTAGGAACTTAGAGAAAAAAAATTTACTGGTTTTCAAAATGTGCTTGAAGGTTAGTTAAATTAAAACCAATTTTCTACAGAATACTGAAAGGTATTCGTCCTCAACAGGGGCTATTTCTGCACTGTATTTATCACCAAACAGTTGAATTTGAAAGTTCTTTGCACAAAATCACAATATATATTTTGAGTATCAGAAGGAAGAATTTTTCCTATGCAAAAAACCCTCGAAACTGTTTTTGCTTAGTATTTGCAAAATTTGCAACTTGAGCTAGCCCGTAACTCTGAAAACTTTAGCTTAAGAGAAATATTCTCAAAACTACAAACTTCTTGAAAGGTGAGGTTAGAGAAATCATTACAGATTCAGCCTAAGAATCTGTTCTGAAACGGATTCTGATTAACCTCTTTCAACAATTGGTACTGAAATATCTTTATTGTGAGAGATCAGCATAAACAACAGAATCAAAGCGTGAATGGAATTTTTAGTTTGTGGCTGGGCAGGTGCTCCACCCATGAGTCATTTATCCTACACAACAAGGGATGCCCGAGTTCTAATGTAACTGTCAGGTCTTCTAGAAGGCATGAAAAAAAAAAAGTTTTCCTGTCAGTCACAAACTTTGAAGCTGAATTTTTCACTCTCGGCTGCAGATGAGGAAAAAATATAATAAAGGTAAACAGGCACTGTGCTACTTGTGAATAACCTCGTGTACTCAAGCAGCTCTAAGGAAACAGGTGTGTGGTACCACTCAGAA